TGAGGAGGAAGAGAGTGAGCGAAGGCAACGGAAGAGACAGAGGAAGTCTAGACACTCAGTAACAGACACTAGCAGACTGGGCCAAGAGGCAGAGTTTGCCACACAGGAAAACAAACTTCCCGTGCACACTCAAGGAATCGATTCTGTTCCGCACCATTTATGTGACAGAGCAAAAGGCAAAATGAGACATCTCTGAAAAGTCATTAAAATTGTCAAGGGCTGAAAACACATTATGTGCTTTCACAAAATACATTATGTGTTTTCATGGGTAAGAGCATTAATACGTTAGTGTGCCAGTCTTCAGTGGTAACTAAGTAACTAAGTAATTAAGTGCATATAGCCTACTCAAGTACTATACTTAAGTACAGTTTTGGGTACTTGTTCACTTGTTCACTGTTCACTTCATTTATCTCACAGCTTTACTTACTAATCTGCAGATTCATGTTATCAATAGAAAAATAATCAACTAATAACTTATGATGTATTATAGATGAAGCTACCCAGCAATATATATATAGTGGCAACAATCAGCCCCAACATTAACAGCTGCAACATTTAAGTGATGCTTACACATTCATGCATCAATAGTTGTAATCCAATAATATGATATGATTCTGAAATGAGACACTCTGCATTTTAATGTGTTACTATGTTTATTTTATTTTAAAGTATTCATGGAAACTAAACACTTTTTTGTGATCACAATTTCTTACATCATTATAATGAGACAATGGCATATATGATAATGATAAATTGTTGTCTCATCATGACAATGAGGTAATGAGTTGAAGTTGTAGTGTCTGCTTGTGTCATACCATAACTAAGGCAAAAATGTGGATGTGTTCATAAGAAGGAGAACATACACACCTATTAACTCTGATGTCTCAGCATGTTATCTTCTTTGGGATTATAGCATTAAAAATAAAGATTGTATCAGGGCTGTGAATGTCCCGCTTCCCCTCCTGCCTTTAATGTCAGCCAATGAGCCAGAATAGGCGTGGATCTCTCCTTCAGTTATTCACTGATCAGTCATCCTGATATCGTCAGTTCCACTCTGGTGTCTACACTGACACTACCTATCACCCTCTCATGAGAGCAGCAACAATGCACCAGTGGAAACGGTTATCCTGAGAATACAAGATAATTATGTTGCGATTTCAAGATAACAAAAAAAAAAAAAAATCCACTGATGCGATGATTGAACCATGAAGTTTTGCTTCATCACAACACTTTGTGACCAAACTATCATAATTCACCATGTAAACCAATTACATCCTGAACTGGAGAAATCTAATTTTGGTGGTCACAGGAATCTGATAACTGAATTACACGATGTAAATAGAACCAGTCATTTCTTGTGAACAGAGATGAAACAAGGCTTTTACAAATACATAAAGTTAAAAAAAAAAATCGCCTGGAAATCAAGAGCTGGTCATAAAAACAACACAACAAACAAAACCCTAAAAAAAAAAAAAAAAAGAAAGAAGCTCAAGTGGAGCTCCCCTAAATAGAAGGGAGTCATCGTTAATGTTATTAGCCACACCTGTGTCAAAGTGTGATCTTTATTATAGTGTTAAGGCTACCACTCACTCAGACCGGTACATTGCTCAGAAGCAAAAGGAAACAGTTTAACCTGTATTAGCGTTCACTTCTCCTTAAAATGATCTCCCGTGACAAAAGCAGCAAAAAATAAATAAATAAAAAAATTAAGTTATTCTAGTTGTTCTTTACAGAATTGCAACACAAGCTAAAACTCACAGTGTCACAGAAAGTAAATCTGCAAGGATGATGGTAGTACATTTACAGTGTAATTAATTTCAGACAGGGTTTGTGTTTCTCAAATAATCTGTGGCCTGTGGTGCCAAGGGGAGTGACCAGAAACCTGACCGTGTTTTTGTTAAAGATGCATTTGAGGTTCTCAAAGACTAAAATATGACACCCTTCTTTTTTGTGTCATAAACAACTGGGTAAATAAGCCCATCTCTGTATAAATAAGAGATGAAAGTGATGAATGACAGCAGAATAAAAAAAGGGGAAACAATGGCATGAAGGAGAGACAGCTAGTATCTCATCTCGTCACAGCTTGGTTTCAGTCTCACCACCTCTGAGATGAACCTTCCTTGAGACGAACATGTGGCATGTATTATTTTACTTCATGTTGCATTCAAGGGATTCATGTATAGCTCTGGCTGAAGACATGCCTTTGCAGAACTGTGACTGAATGATTGAGAGAACACCATAATCATCATCATCATCACCATCCGCAGCATACTCTATGTGCGATTGTGTCAGTTTATATCATCCTATGTTTATGCAATGTGTCATTAGGTATTTAGTTAGTTGGAAGAAAAATGTGTCTGTTTTTATACCCTGGTCCTAAAAGAAATTATAATTTAGTTTAGCTATATTTTTTACAGTTTAAACTTTTCTTTTTTTGTTAAAAGTTACACTTGATTCTGCTTCATCTTTTCACAAACTTCATCTGGTTTCCCTTCCCTTGCTATGCTGTCTAATGCTTCATAGGTTTAAGGACAGATTCATTACCTCCATCTAGTGGTGGCAACAACAACAACAATACTATACTACTATACACACGGCAATCAGACAGGTTAATAATAACAGTAACAAAATAAATTCATTTCCTGGCTTTGTGCGTGCTAAGCTAAGATAACCAGCTGCTGGTTGAGCATCATATTGCTGCACAGATGTGTGAGTGGCATCCAACGCTCAGCAAGGAAAGTGAATAAGCATATTTTTTTTTAAACTTGTAACTTAGTCCATCATGTCAGAATATTTGTAATAAAAGCTGTTATTTTTCCATTTGATGTAATACAAATGAATTGAAGCTGAAAAAACAATAAAGGACTGCTGGTTTATGATGATAGTTTATAGTTTATGTATAGTTTATGTTTATAGTATAGTTTATGCTATATTAATAACCTGCTGAACGGAATGGTTTTCACTACTTAACCACAAATTCTAATCATTTTACCCATTCATTTCTTGGGACGTGGATTCAAGTTTCAACCAAATGTTTGCATGTTCATATTTTCTCACACAGCCCAGAGACATACAAGTCCAATTAGATTTACAGTCTGTGTTTGTTGGAATATGTCTGTGTGTGTGTGGAGTGGAGTGTCAGTGTCAGTGGCTGATTAATGATAAAAAAAAAAACAGGATCAGTCTATTTCCTACAATGAATGATGGATTGAATATCACTCTCACAGGTTCATCAATGAGATTACTGATGACATAGTTAGGACATTAGGGCCTGAATGGTCACATGGTTTATTACATTAATCCAGGAGAGTCAAGGAGAGAGAGAGAGAGAGAGAGGGCAGGGAGGGAGGGTGGCTGGAGGTTAAGGTGAGAATGTAGGTTGACAGATGGCCTCACTAAGCACCTGCAAATGCTGCCAGGTTTTATCTGCACTGTAAGTGTTTGGCTCAGGAAAATTAGCCTAGCACTGCAGAAACAAGATGGAGGCAAAGCAACAGAGAGGAATAATGTGACAGAGCAGTCAGAAACTGCAAATGGACCAACATAGACACTACTGACGACTCTACTGAGTTTGTAAAGAGTTAAATACACAGGACTTCTCAGGTCATATATAGCTAAAAACCAGATGGAGCTGATGGACAATTTTCTAGAGGACTGGCCAGAATCTCTGGACATTTTTGGGTCAGTGTGGATGGATGCATTGGAGGTGTCTGGAGCAGCTGAAAACTGGTCTATTTGTCTGAATCTTGTGGAGCATCTGTGTCTGGATTTGCTGAGCCAGATGGATTTTTTACTGGAACACCAAGCTGTGTGCTTCAATGTACTGGGTCCACTGTTTGCTGACGACCCATATGTGTGGATGTTCCTCCACAACTGAATTGGACTGAACATTTTTCAAATTTGTTGCTTGGAAAAAATGTGAAGCATTTGAAGTACAACATCTCTAGTGAATTTGCTGTTGCAGGTGGAAAACAGTGGTTTGTCATAGTCATTAAAACTGAGTTAGTGTGAAGCAAAGGTTTCCTGTACGTGATCAATAACTTTTATTGCATGAGCATGATTTTATTTTTGTTCCCAGGAATGAATGAATGTGCATCTCACATGGCTAGAACGGAGATTCATCAAGACCATAGCACATTATTATGTGTATTGTACAGCAAGAGTCATGCATTTTCATCCAGTACTGCACAACCAAGACTGCGCAAATCAATTCAGCTTGAACTACTGGATTAAAAAGAAATCTTGGAGAGCAACACAGGATCAAATATATGTGTGTTGATGTGTGTGTGACTCATCTGTGGAATGATGAAACATTGTAATGCACATCTGAAAAACTGTCTGTTGTTTTGTGTCATGATTCAGTCTGTGAGTCTGGATGAGATGAGAAACTGAAACAATATTTTGTACCACTGCAATAAATTATCACAAATCTTTGACCAGAGGCAGTTGCTGATCATTTTAACACTGATATGACTTTCATTTTTTACATCATAATTATTCAACAATCTACACACTATCATATTTCACTGAAGCAACAAACTTCTCCTCCTTATAAGCAATAACAGTTTGATAGAGGATGTACAGTATAGTCTCACTGATTCAATCTAACATTGGATTAATCCACAGACATTGCTGCTGGCTATACTTTTTTAGTATAGACTGTGTGATTATCATCATTATATGATTGCCATCCTACTGTGCCAAGTATTTTATACACATTCTATATATTTTACCATATAGGAATAAAAATAAATTGGGTAGGCTACAGTTTACATATCTTTTGCAGTATTTAAATCTAGATTTAAGTGTCACAATAATTATTTATTAATCTACTTTATTTATTCATTTATTTATTCAGTTAGTTAGTTAGTTAGTGGAAGTATACCAGTGAGGGTTTCAGCTTGCTGTTAAGGATTATCAATCCTACAGTACCCAGAATTCCATGCTGCAGTAGCGTGATCACGTTGTACGCTCGTTACGCAATGTTGTTTCAAAGGTTGTGTACATTTGTCGGACTGCACGTCTGAAGAACACAATGTGACTGCAAATTCCGGCAGTTTATCAGTTTACAGGCTTTAGTCTGAGAGAAGAATCTCTAAAGGTAAGAATCACTTGAGCTGTGCTTTCTCTGACAAAAAGGCTCTTTGTTCATAAACCACAGAGTCTATCAACCTCAACGAGACAACAGCCGCTGCGTTGTAAACAAAGTCTAATGCTCGCCGTTTTAGCTTTGATGTTTAACATGATTACACTGTCGAATCATCGTGAAACACACTATTCACCAAAAATTCAAAACTAAAACAAAAGAGATTGAGAGCAAGTTTAAATGAACAGTAAGACCACCTCACATTTTAAACATTGACCTTATTGCTCTTAACTACAAATGATTTATAATTAACATTTTTGCTTATTTTAAACTTGCTTGAGTTTGGTATTCTAACAGATTTGTACAGAAATGAATCGTAGACACTAGAAAAATACCAGACTTCTACACCACAATAGAATGGTTTCAGAATGGTAAACTGTAATGTAAAGTACAGGTTATATATCATTTATAATAAAAAGTCTAAAACATGCAAAAACCAGTGTTAGAGTCTATATAAGGCACTCAAACAGCTTTTTTCTATCTGCCTCACTTCATCACTTAATTAGTTTTTTTCCCCCCTCATTCCTTCTTCTCTCCAACTCTTTTCCTGTTGATTTTCCCTGCTTACCTCATCGCTGTATCATGTTCAGTATTGCCCTGAGTGTTCAGGTCATACTGTTTCTCCCTGTTATCCTGCAGATAAGAGCTCATATCCAATCTGTTTGCAGTTTGTCCGATGAGCTCCTCTCTGCTCTCTCTGTTTCTTGCTCCCTCCAGTCTGTCATCATGAGCTCCTGACGTCTGTCTGTTCGTTCATCATCATGAGTGGTGCTGCGCTGGCTGTCGTGGTCGTAGTTGTCTTCTTCTTGGCCCTCTACCTCCTCCAGCGTTATGGAGATTTGCGGAAGCAGCAGCGGATGGTCCTGTTCGGGACGCTGCTCTCCTGGTTCCTCTGCTTCCTCATCATCTTCATCCTGCCACTCGATGTCAGCACGGTATGAAACCATTGCAGCTGTTTGAAGTGTGTGTCAACACAAGGTTATTTTTGGCTTGGGTTTTTTAAGAATAAAAACGGAATCACCAGGATGTGAGTCCGTGTGTGTTCTTTGAGAATAATCTGTGTAAGAGTGATGTTGAGCTGTGTGTTTACTCACACTGCTCTTGCCTCTGGCGTCATACCTGTACCATTGTTATGTGATGAATAGGCTCCATCCTGTGTTTCACTGAGTGTTCACCTGACTGTGCAAACTCTGCTCCTCTCTTAGACCATCTACAAGCAGTGTGTTCTTGACAATTCAAACCACCCTACTCCTGTAACTCAAGCAAGACGCACTCATCAGACCGCAGCCAGCCCATCTCTTTATCCATCTGTGAGGTAAATACGATTTTTGATTTATCAAAGCCAGGGCTACGGTTTGCTGATTTCAATGCAGTCTCTTCCTACGTGTTGTGTTTCAGAACCATTCAAAAATCATACACAATATATAACCTTTTGGCTAAATTGGACAGTTCTTACCTAAACCTCAGATATTCAAATTTCTTCTGATTTTCAATGTATTATTGCTTTAAACTATATAATTTACGTATTTTATGGTATTATTTTATATATTGTGTAGATTAAATAATAAATGATACCACATCAAAAGCCAATTGGAAAGAAGAACATGTGTGTTGTATTATCTGAATGACCTGATCCTGTTATCAGTGTTAGTGTTGACAATTTTATAAACTTTTTATTGATTCATACATGCACAAACAGTTTTGCTGTGGCATTATATGATGTTATTTGCTCAATATTATTGTAATAGTGTTCTGCAGTCACTCCTCTGCAGCAGAGTGTCTGGTCATAAAGGTGTTTCTCAGACTTAAAAAAAGACTCATCCATTTCCTCACCTATCTCTCATGGTAAAACATTATCTGCATCAAATCTAGCTGTGCATATAACCCTGTTGCAAGGGAGGTGAACTGAATTCCATATGTGGTGTTCACAGCACTGAAATAATGCAATTATAAAATTTGGCATATGAAAATATCTTTCCATAAACAGTACCCCGTTTTAATCTGGCTCTACTGAGTTTTTTTTATTGGAACTACATCATGTTGAAGAAATAGGATGAATAGTTTTAATTTTTTTTTTTTTTTTTTTTTTTGTAATTTCCCTTTAAAGCAACTATAGTGTACGATTTGACTCTGTAGTAGGCAGCTGTGCACTCTGCTACAATTGAAAATGCTTATTGCACTGTGGTTGTGTCATAATTGTGATGTCACATGTATACACATATAATGTGAGAGCGAATTGCATTTAATCTCTGTGATTGAGTTTTATATTACTGCAGGTGGTTAGGCCAAGCTTATGTTAAATCCACTGTAAAATGCTTTAACTCTGCTTTTTGGAACTGCGTGTGTATGTGTATGTGTATGTGTGTGTGTGTGTGTGTGTGTGCGCGCGTGTGCGTGCATGCGTGTGCGTGCATGCGTGTGTTGCAGTGTACCAAAGGTGTGTGAGGAGCCCTGGAGTTATATCCCAGATGGCGTCCTACCAGTTTTTTGGAGAGTTGTATACTGGACTTCTCAGTTTCTTACTTGGTGAGATCCTACCACACACACTCAGTCGCTCACTCAACTATAACTGTATGTTCCACCCTTTGTTATATAGACAGTTGTGTTTTGGTATATTGACTCTCTGTCTTCTCTGTGTGTGTATGTGTGTTTTCTGAGTGTACAGGCTGCTGTTGCCCTTCATGCAGTCTTATGCACGGTCGGGAGCTTTCTCCAGAGTTGGAAAGATTAAAACGGCTCTCATTGAAAACGCCATCTATTATGGCACTTACCTCCTTATCTTCATCTCTCTGCTCATCTACGTGGCTGCTCACCCACAGTGGAAACTCACATGGTCAGTCAAGTGTACCTGCATTCATAAGACAGTGAATGGGCCCACCTATTTTAACCTAGAAGAAAAGAAAAACAAAAAACCCACTTGCTCATGTTGCACCGTGGTTGTGTTTTCTAAGCTGCCATTATCTATTATGTATTGTGTATTGATGCGTTACGTATTGATTAAAATATTGATTAAGTGTATTGATTATCTGTCTTTGTAAAACTTGTGCAGGACGGATCTCCAGACCATCTGTATAACAGCTGCCAACACCTGGGGCCTCTTCCTTCTGGTGCTGTTGCTAGGCTACGGTCTGGTGGAGATCCCTCGTTCTTATTGGCTCTCATCTTCCCATGGTTACCTGCTGGCCAAGACCTATTTTAAGGCAGCAAAAATGGCTACTGAGAAGGCAGCAGCCGAGGAGAACCTAGCAGATGTTATGGAGGTGAGTTTTATAAACAATTCAGTGCTGTAAGAGTGTTAAGAGAACAGCTTCCAGCAGGTGTTAAAAATGTTGTCCTTATATGTATGAAAACCATTTTTTAACAACAAAATCAACATATCATCTGCATTTTTGGCTTGTCTGGCTTTTATTTTCACTTTAACAAGAAGAAAAATATTATGTATTATCAGGAGGTGGCAGCTGTCCATAAATCTGTCAGGTACAACCACTCTCTCAGGAAGTGTGTGGACACCATTTTGACAAAGGTGAGAAATACATGAACACGATTTGTTCCCTAAATCAAATTCACTAACCGATACAAGTTTTCCTTTTTATGTCTACGTGGAAAAAGTAACGTTGCACTTATAGTTTTTACAGTCAGGATCTGTGGGACAGCCTTCATTTGAGTTTCATCTCATTCCAGTGTCCCACTGAGTACCAAGAGGAGATGGGAAGAAATGGGGAAAGCTCTTGTGAGGAACAGAATGTCCTTCCCACCAAAAGAGGACTAGTTAAGCTTCATAAAAAAGTAATTATTATTTTTAACCTTGCACTGTCATTTTAAAGGAAGCAATGCAAAAATATAGCAGCATATGGAAATGCGAATAATATTTATTTGCCCTGGTTACCTGTATGTGTGCGTATGTTTCAGGTCATTTCTGCAGTGCAGAGACACGGTCAGACACAGGTTCAGTGGTCCATCTTGTTAGACCAGGCTTTTCACCTGGAAGATGTAGCTAAAAGTCAGAGCAGCCCGGTACGACACTTTGTCCACAGCTTCCCCTCAGCGCACCACCACGGCTGGATCTGTAGGTTCATCTACACTCCTACTGTGGGTGAGTACAGTCACTACCAGAATCTCAAATTCATAGATGAGGCAACTTTACTTGACTACAAAGTAAAGGTACTTATAATTCAGTATTTTCATTTTGCTAGACATGACCTTTAGTAGCCTGCCAGTGTTTCTTTGAATTGTGTTTCCTGTTTTTGAATAAATTTTTTCCACCACTGGTCAAATTTCTCATCCTATAACAGTGATTTCTTTGGATCCTGATTGCTGCTGTTTTTTTATTCCAGTAATTCTGGTCTTTTCTATGTGTATTTAATGTATCCCAGAATTCCCCCAATACAGTTGAATTGGCGGGGTGGGTGTCACTGCCTTTAAAAAGCTGCTGAACTTTAAGTTTTACTGATGTAGAAGTGTTGTTTTAGAGTGTCAAAAACACAAATCTTAAGGAAACACTGTATAATTGAACTCTGTGGTATGTCAATTATTGGTAACTTCAGCACAAACCCAAGATCTCATGATCTCAGATAATAATTAATAATTAAAATAGAACAGACAGGTTTTAGGGGAACACATTCATGCACATCATGGTAAAAGGACCGAGTTTTAGAAAGACTTCAGTCTGTGTGGCAATAAAATGTATAATCTTCTTTGCTTGTGAGCTCTTTTTGAATCCATGCCTACAGTATGTGACATGTGTAACTCAAATGCCAGTTTGAATGTTCCTCCAACATTTGTATTTATGCATGTGCATGTGTGTGTGTGTGTGTGTGTGTGTGTGTGTGTGTGTGTGTGTGTGTGTGTGTGTGTGTGTGTGTGTGTGTGTGTGTGTGTGTGTGTGTGTGTGTGTGCGCGTGTGTGTGTCCCCAGAGTGGTTCTGGGAGTGTGTGTTCAGGCAGGGTTCCTACAGGCTGTTGGCAGTGCTCCTGGGTCTCCTCTCTGCAGCAGTGGTCTGGTCTGAGTGCACCTTCTTCAGCACACACCCTGTCCTCTCTCTCTTCGCTGTCTTTATTCAGATGGCTGAAAAACAATACAACTACATTTGTATTGAGGTAAGCATGTGTCGAGTGAGGGGCATGGAAACACACATACCCAACAAACCTAAGCTTCCAGTGCAGACCAACATATTATTTATTTATTTATTCATTATACCTTTTTCTCTTTACGAGGAAATTGTTAGAATATATTTATCATTGCCTTGTAAACACATGTAGTCTCATCTCATTATATTGTTAATAATCTGCTGTGAACAAAAAGTATTTATACTCACAATAATACGCTCGTTTGAGATGTGTGGCATTGAATTAATCCTCTCTACCTGTTGTTTTGTTTCTTTTCACCAGATGGCGTGCTTTATCAGTATCCTCTTCCTGTGTGTGTGCGTCTACTCCACAGTGTTCAGGATACGAGTTTTCAACTACTATCACCTGGTGCCACATCACCAGACGGATGCTTACAGCCTGCAGTTCAGCAGCATGTACGTCCCTCATGAAGTCAGAATTTAAGATATTTTATTTCACATAATAGGCATAAGGTGTTGGTTTAGTTAATCTGTTTAGACATTAAAATGTAAGTTTCAATTTTAGCATCACATAACGTTTCCGTCATAATGTTTTTGATTTTATACGAGTGGAAGTTGTTACACTAAACTGTTTTCACCAGTGTTACAGGGCATAGTTTCTGTAGATCTTCTCACACTGTTTAACTCATGTATTATGACATTATGATTCTTCTTTTTTATCTTTTACACTCAGGTTGTTTTGTCGCCTGACTCCTCCTTTGTGCCTCAACTTCCTGGGCCTGATTCACATGGACTCCGCCATCTCGCACCAGGACAGAATTCAGACATCCTACACTTCTGTGGGTTCCACACACACACACACACACACACACACACACACACATACACACATGCGCGCACACACATACACACAAGCCAACACAGGCATTCATATTAAAAAACATGTATTAATGTACCCGTCACAAAAATATATATGTACAGATAATCTAAAATGGTGTGACTCTTTTTCTCTCCCTCCGTCAGATCATGGGCTCTATGCATCTTCTATCTTTCATATCTGATGGGTTCTACATCTATTATCCCATGCTGGTTTTGCTGCTTTGCTTTGCCACCTTTTACAAGTAAGCCAGTAACCACAAACAACTAAACACTGGTTTAATATGAAGACTACCTTAAAGTATACTGTAGTTTTGGTTATATGCTTACAAAATTAAGATCGATTCTTCAGCCGATATGAGCCTTTTTGCAGATATATCAGAATCAGTGTATGTGTCAGCCGATAAGTAACAAAAAATAACAGTACAGAAAGGAATTTGCCTAAAAAATGTTTTTAGGTAATTCAGAAAGGGTGTCTCCATTACATAATTTGTCCACCAGAGAGCACTGACAAGTCGATTTTTCAACCTTAAACTGACCCACTTGTTTTTTGACCGATCAGACCTGCATGGGTCTGGTAGGAGGATTCTGCTCTGAGAGACCTTTGTTAGTTAGATCTTCTTTTTCATGTTGCACATTAAGAAAGTATGTTCAACAGAATATTTGAAATTGTCTGTGTTTGTAGCCTGGGCTCTCGCTGTTTGAACCTCCTGGGCTTCCATCAGTACATCACTGACGATGACTTGACCTCTGACCTGGTGGATGAAGGCAGGGAACTCATCAGAAGAGGTAGTTTTAGTAGAAAGTCAAACGCTCACTTTCCGTATTTGTTTGACTCTTTTATTAACTTTTGTGTGAAATATTTTGCAGACTTGATCCAATATTTGTTTCTCTCCTTTTTTATAGTAACTTTTATAGTAAATTAACTACTTATTTGATACAGCAGCTTTCCTATTCATTTTATACTATATATTTACTTCTTATACCTCAAGTTGTTGAATGTGTGGAAATGAATAATTATCAATTTTAATGAATAAAAGTGCACATTCTTTTTAACGATGCTCTATAATTTGTCCATTTGTAGAAAGAAGGAAAAGACAGAAAGCTGAAGATGGAGAAAATCGGAGATGGGTTAGGAATTTTTATTCTATCAAATCATTTCTCTCAAGACAATCTCCCCAATCTGTTGGCTCACTGGTTCTTTCTTGTTTGTGCTTAGTGTATCCAGGTATTTATGTGCCTGTTTTGTTTTGTGTTTCAGGCCTGGAGGGAGCGGTATGGAATCCATGGGACCGCTGGACGGAGCAGAGCTGATTACACTGAGTTAAAGGATGACAGTCCTGTAACAGAGATCAAGAAAAGTGGTAGGGCTTAGAAAAACTACTATAATTAATAGTTCTACTAATACTAATATTTCTCTGTGTTGCTCACTGTTACTGATATGACAATACATTTTCAACAAGGTTCTGGGTGGATGGCTTGGTTTTACGAGAATGTTTATAGACAGTTGACCCCTAAACTTACTGCCCTGTGCCGGAAACTAAACATCTGCCATTTTAGCCAAAAGGCACCCCACCCACACAAGGGAGGCTTTACGCTGTGACAGGGTGGGTTACTCTGGAATTTGCACCACCCAGTGACGCTATATTCCCAAGCTCCCACAATAACTTACATGCATAATGAAACATGTACAACAAAAAAGTCATTTTGGAAGAGCTAATCTGTCCAACAAAAAATAGTGGCAATTTCTGTGTTCTGTGTCACCTTACAACTCTATGTTCTCATTCAAATAAACCTTTTGTTGATCAAGATCGCTTATGTCAGTCAAAAAATGCATACTTAAAGTATACTGTCTATACATTGCTCTTTGTCATTCTCAGTTATCACGTTCACCAGAAGAGATGGAGAGACAGACGAGCAGCAGACTGGTTTACTGCAAGACAACTCCAGTGATGAAGGCTCTCCAAACAGAAGGTATGGTTCTCGCTACATAAATTACACATGTTTAGTGTTTGATAGAGGCTGAATAATAATAATGTCCTACAGAGTCAAATCACATATGGTCAAACATTCTTTCTCTGTCACTTACTCTGCCTCTCTGTGATTGACACAACAGATCTACAGGAGGACGTTACCTGTCTCTGTCACCTTCTAGCACGGGCATCTTTGAAGATGTTTGATTGACCGAGGACATGGAAGGAAAGCATAAATAATAACATAAAGGACTGTATATTTTCTTGGAAAAAGTCTAAACGCAAAGGATTATACCTCAGGAATTAAAGAGGATGACAATGTATCTGAGATGTGCATATTATCAGGTAATGGATGAACATGAACACTGTAAATAAAGGTTTTATATCAGCTGATTTATGTAACTGGTTTATAGAAAGAGATTGGTAACTCTAAAGGGATGTTTTTCAACCAAAGACATAACCAGTTTTTGTACAACCAAACCTTCTTGATATTATCTTTCGAGTTGTGTTTCATAAGTAGACTGAAGGATGAAAGAGATGAGTGAAACATTTGTGCACGTGTAGTAGCTGTGGTCAGATACTATTATCAACCTATGCATTAGGTATACCACTTATCCTTTGAGGATCACAGAGGGGCCGCTGGATCCAATCCCAGCTGACATTGGGTAAGAGGCGGGGTACACCCTGAACAGGTCGCCAGTCTATCACAAGACTAGCATATAGAGACAAACCATTCCCACAGAGAGAACATGCAAACTCAACACTGAGGGGCCCAGGCAGGCCAGTAGGTTCAAACCCAGAACCGTGCTGCTCAACACTCATTATATATGTGGAAATTCATTGTTTTCCAAATATTGATACATTTTATATAGGAATTAAATAGCTTACTGTGCCACAAACCAAATGAAAACAGTTTACATTTACTCAAAGGGAAGATATTAACATTAACCTAATTTTTTTCTTGTTGAAAGTTTTGTGTTTATGGAGTATTTGTTTACCATATTTACTAAACAACATGACTTGTATGTAATACATGCAATGTAAACTAAACTGAATAAATGTAATGTCATTTAAGTAAGGAGAGTTTTTTCCCTATAATAATACGTTCCATAATGCATTATAATTTGCCCAAACACTGCACAGTACAATTAATTATATTAAATGTATTGGTGATACAAGGTTATGATCATTCTAAACAGGAATTTATTCAATACTTCGGCAAATGCATTGAGAAAATTCCTTTGTAACATGGATGGGAATTTTCCACATCACATTGAAATTCAATTCGTTTTTTTCCTGACAACACGATTTTAAATTTCCTCAGACATATAAATCAGACTGCTTCTCAGTCGGAGCTATTGCAATTTTTAGAACATCTAGTAAGACAATTGACATTTTCTATTATAATGCATAATAATAACGCGTCCATTTTTGGCCGTTTCCAGCACCCGTACCGTAAATACACGAAGAGTGCACAAGAAAAACCAAACAGCGACTTGCCATACAACACAGGGACACTGCTGTTTGTATGTCAATAATGGATACGAGCTAACTGTCTAGCGGGAATGCGCTCATAACTGCCGAGGAAGCGCGGCTACATTGTTTAATATATCACCAAGTGTCACTCTATATATTAGGTCCAACATTTAATTCCTGTTTTGTGACTCGAATCTTCCGGGTAAGTAGATGGTCTGGCTGCCAACATTAGCAAGCGGCAGCTGTAGATAAGCTACGTAGCTAGCTTAATGACGCGAGCGTACAGTGGCAACGCTGATTGCTTTTAGCATTGACTCAGATAGTTGGCCGAGCTGTGCTTCATTAATTACCCTACTTTGTCTGTCTGGTTTTGAGTCCTTTAAATAAATTATACTATAACATATATCTATTACAAACTACCAGATAGGTCCAGGTGTAGCGGATAACAGCCAAGCTCCTTCCTGGCCTGAGTTTAGCTGATCGACCCTTTTGGCTAGCTGTTAAATGTTGGGTTAGAAAGAAGAGGCTCTGTCTGGTTACTGCCAAATGCGTTTAAGGAAGCTGTAACCTGTAATTTGATAGCAGAGGCCAGATTTTCCCATTTTATCCCGGTGCTTGTTTGTCATCTTGAACTGAGGTTGGCTCCCCCTGGGCCATCTTTTGCTGTAACGACAGGGATTCATCAGTTTACACGAATGTAAGCATCATTCACCAGTTTAATACAAGGCACCTCTTTCTCCTCAGCCATATCACGTCTGATTATACGTGTTGGCAATACTGTTATTTCCTGGTGGTGATTTATGTATTTACAGCCACAGTTTTATGATTCTGTCTTGAAATCTATTCCTGTTTTAATCTATGATAAACCTGCATGACGTAATTTACGAGTGACCCACGGTCTACCAGTCTAAACAGTTCTTTACATCTGGTTCATTCCTGGATCGTTTGTATGGAAGGGACCCAAGCATGGAAAGCCAGGGTTGGGCATATTAGTTACATGGACAGTATGCCTTGCCACCCCCAGGCAATATGATGTGATATGAATATGATATGACGTAAAGTGTTTATGGTATGCGTGAATAGCATAGAGTTTCAGCACCTATGGGTCCGTGGAAATGTCTTGATAATGTGTGCTTTATAGCCCCCTTAAGGCATTTTAAGTAAGTCACCATTGTTAGGAACAAACTGAGATCTTCCTGTTGAGTATTTCATAATACAGTGTCCAGTCTGTCATGAATGTTCTTTAGAATAGTGGTCGTAATGTTTGTGGTCTAGTCCTAAAACGAAAGTGTGCACATAAAAACAAAGTTGCATTTATGCAGTATCTATAGTGGAATTGCTAAACATACTGTGATGTCAGATAACATTTTCTGTACTCAGATTTCTGTGTTTTTGCGAACTCCAAGGACATTAACTTGGCGCATTAGACTGATGCAAGTAGTATGCAAGTCTGGCAGTGAGCTTTGTACATGTCTATAATCAACCATAAATGCTTATGTACTTATTTAATGACCTTAGCCATAGCACACAAAAGACTTGTCATTTTAGAATTAATGGAAAGTGTGCTGACCCTAGCTGTGGTTTGTGCTTCTCCAGTCTGTAGACAGCTATGGGTGGACTGGGGAATGGGCGTCGTGGAGGAAGATCACCCCCTCTAATGATTGGCGCTCTAATCGCCTGTATCCTGGTTCTGGGCTTTAACTACTGGGTGTCCAGCTCACGCAACCTGGAGCTGCAGGTAAGTTAATTTTCTTGTGTTTGTGTGTATGTATATATTTGGTTTTGTAACCATAGTAAACAGCACAATTTATCCCTTTTTAAAATGTCAAAACAAACAACAACAACCTACTTTAAAACTTAAAGGTATAGTAAGCAGTGCTTGAGAAAGGCTGTTGATATTTGAGCTCAACATCAAAGCAAATACACCCCTTCCTTCAGTGCTCCTTCAGAACCTGCGCCCCCAAAATTAATGGATGTGTATTATCAAAGAATTGACATTGTGTCTCCAGAGCATCATATATGGTGTGGAAGTAGATACTCTAGCTGAAGAGAAACAAAGCTTATAAAATCATCATCAAACAAACAACATGCACACAAACACAGCACCATAAACACAGTAGAGTAAAAACTAGCAAGAGTTAAGTTAGTTGGATTGTTTTTACAGAACTACAGTGAAGAGAGGAGAGGACTGTAGGTTTGTAGGTAAGCTAACAAGAAAGCTAACATTGCCTGGCCTATGCATCCCACCAAATAAATCCACAACACTAGCAGACTTGTGTTTTTAGGTGTTCATGGCTATAAAACCTTTTGCACCTTGTACAGATAAATGCCATGATACAGAGCAAAAAATGAGCCAGCAACCTCTGGCTACAGTTGCTGTAGGAAAACTAACATGCAGAGAGGATGAGAAGGTTTCCCATAATCAGCACTCCAGCTGCAGACGGTGATACTCCCAACGCTGCTGCTGCAGATCTGCAACATGAGTGCATGATTCTTCTCTCCATTCTCATCGGCTGTGTTCCTCATTTTGTCTTGGGTTTTTTTTCTTCAGGGTTTCACAGTTTTTACAGTTGGAGGGTCTTTTTGTATGTTATGCAATGCTCTTTAACAGCTTTTACAATAGCCATCAACATTAATTTTGACCACATCCTTTAATGCAAGTCACTGTAAGCAACTAACCCAGTACCTTGTTTATTTGTATTGTAGAACAGGAATAGAGGCCCAAGCAAATATTTCTGCTGTTTTGTTGAAACATTTGTGCAGTTGTTAGTGCTCTACTTTTGCTGTCTTGGGTATAAGTGACATGAAGAAGAAACTCCTAAAACACAACCATAGTGCTTTGTATTGGGTTTCTATCAATCTGTCATTACCCAGTGTTTTTTCAGTGTTCACTGCACAGCCAGACTGTTGTTATCATTACCAGTTTTCTCTTTAGTCTAAATATTATGAGTTTAGCACATATTAATTGCTTAAAAAACTAGTAAATAGTAACCCTAATCCCTTTGTCTTTCTGTGTGCTACAGACTAAGCTCTATGAGTTGGAGGGCCAAGTTCGACGTGGAGCAGCAGAGCGAGGAGCTGCAGAGATGAAGAAGAATGAGTTCCAAGAGGAGATCCAGAGACAGAAGGAGCAGATCAGCCACATAGAAAACCTCTACAAGAGACAGCTGGAAGGAGCCCAGAACACTTGCAGCCAAGAGAAGGTGCAAATAAACATCACTAGGAGTTATAATGGGATCAAAAAGCAACAGGGACAAATTGCACATTAAACTACAGCCACAGAGTAGTTCATTTTGGGCCAGTGAAACCACCTTTTTGACTTGCTCACTGTTGTGGTTCACACTAAACTCACAAATCATGAAGTGAAAAATTGATTGTGAATATTGATAGTTGCTGTTTTGTTACTTCTAGGGCACACTGCAGCAGAATGTTTCCTCCTCTACCAAAACCATACAGGAACTCACAGGTAACTGTTAATATGTAACTTCTTTATCTCAAAAACAATAGCTGACAGTCCTCTGAAAATAATGTGAAAAATAATGTAATTCAGCTCTTATATGGCTGTTAATGTCTTGTTTGTGTCTGCACTGTAGGGCAGTTGAATCAGCTAAATGATGACCTGGGGAAGCTGCAGAAGGAGCTACAGAGTTGCCAAGGCAACATCAACACTCTTAACAGCAAACTCACTTATGACATGTAAGAAAAAGATTATTTTCCATAATTGGATTTATACAAAGATGAATTGCTTTATCTTTGTTTATGGTATATGCAGCCCTCTTGATATTAATAATAGACAATAACCACAATTCAACATTAACTCAGCTTCAGATATATCACATGAACATGAAGTGCTGTTAGGGAGTGAATATATTTCTGTCATTCCTGGTTAACACATATGTGTGTGTGTGTCTGTGTGTTTTTGTGCACATGTGCAGGACCCATTGTCAATCCCAGGTTCTGTCCCAGAAGGAATTGTGTGATGAGAGAGTGGCGGCTGTTAAACTTGAAGCTCAGAAAAAAATGGAGAAGCTCATTGTCCCTGCAGCAGGCATCACAACACAGGTGAGTTGTTTGATAATGAACCATGGGACATCCAGACCCTCTCCACAGGACTGGGATTGGGGCAGAGGGCTGGGGCCGTTCAAGCCATTTTGTAAATTGATAAGTATTGGCTATATAAGGCCTGATCTATTTCTTATGCTTGGTTCATTGTAACCCATTACATTCTGGGCAAACCAGTTGTCATAAATACTTTATTCTGGTAAAACTCTGGAAGTGTTTCTCAACACATACATTTTCATTTGTTTGTTATACAGCAAAACAGCAACTCATCTAGCTTGGTGATGTTCTAACCCACCCACCTGACACCCACAATTATTCCTTTTTCTTAGTCCGTTCAAGATCATTCTCGTTAGTCTTTTTTCATGCAAGTGTGGAAATGGAGTTGATGACACCTATTTATGCAGCTAAAACAAAAGGACAGGACTGGTCCATTTATTCTGTAGGGCCAAGTGTATAATCTTTTGGTAGTGTAAAAGAATGTGGTATATAATGATGTTCACTCCTCAACAGGAAAATGCAGTGGATGGAGCAGTAAACGAGGACAGACCAGTTATGACTGAAGCTGATAAGACACCAACTGTTGTAAACCACACTCCAAGCCTATCTCAGCCAAAAGGAAATGAACCTGAACTACTGACCAATGAGATCATTGTAGACAAAGGTAAAAGAAAAACATGAATGGCTCAGGAGGTGGTGAATCAGTATACTGAACAATGTATATGTATCTATGTTTATGCACATACTGAACATCCGATGCATTTTGTGTGTGTTTATATCTCTACATATCTAAGGACACTTGCAGTAAGTGTACACCCTCACATTGCGCTTACTTTCTGCCTTGTTATGTCCCATTTCCCGATGCCCCAGTGGACCTGCCTTCAGTGAAGGATCTATCCAAGGTAGATTTCACTTTTGTTCCCTCTGCTGCTGCAGTCAAGCAGGACATTTTGCTACCACCAGGGGGAGCTGACAAAACACAGGAGGTTGATCCAGAGAACAACAAACTCTTGAAGAATAATCTGACTGAGGATAAAGCGATGGAAGTGATGGATGATCATGAAGAGGGAGCTCAGACACAAGGTAAAGAACTCAGAGAATCAAACACCTTGAACATGCAAGTACTTGTGTTTTCAAAGTGGACAAAGTGGTTGGCAGTATGTTGAAATTACAATTGCCTGGTGTCTGGCCAATATATTTTATATTTTGAATGTACACATGACACATGAACCTTTTAAAAGCACAATTTTCACACTTAGCTTCAAATGTTTCTCATTGAACCGCTTTTTAACTGGCATTTAGCACATGCAAAGTTGGTATGCACAATTAATTGATGAGTATTTGCTATCCTCGTTATTGCATTGTTTATCAGGGTTAACAGTCAAAACCACAAATTATATCTCTTGTTATGGACACATAATTCCACTCTTACAAAGAGTAATGGTTTAAATTCCCCATCACTGCAGTGACATAGTATTCAGCCCAAGTTGCAATATATAAGTAAAGTGGTGAATTTGACTACACACCAACTGTTACTCACCACACTGTAGTTGTAAATGCCATAATTTCCATAATGCATTGACTTCTTCCCATCAGCTGATTCCATGCAAACAGAATAACGTACTGGGAAGTTATCTTCCGATATATTACTGGAGTTACTGAACATGTGACATAACACTGAAAAAAGAGAAGAATAATAACCTTTATTCTTATGCTTTTGTTATATATGCACTGTATTATATATATTGTGTGTGTGTGTGTGTGTGTGTGTGTGTGTGTGTGTGTGTGTGTGTGTGTGTGTGTGTGTGTGTGTGTGTGTGTGTGTGTGTGTGTACATACATACATTGTTACATGTGTGTGTGTGCATGTGTGTTCACCTGCTTGAAGTGTGTGACACAGTGGAGTCAGCATGTCAATTCGTTGTCCACTCCACCTCATTGAGTAGCACCAGTGATAGACAGTTATCTTTGACCCTTTAGACAGTTTCAGTGAAGAGGTTGTGAAATTGTTCATAAGATTAAACTGCGATTTGTTTCCATCTCCAGAGGCAGATCCTGGGATGGAAGGCATGCTGATCGGCCAGGGGAAGACAGATGAGACTCTTGTTGGTCAGAAACTGGAGGAGCCAGAAGAGTATGATGCAGTGGGTGGAGTCGATTTGGAGAAACAACAGCAGAGTAACCGGCCTGAAAATATAGGTATGTGTGCTTATATAGATTGAAACTGAAGTGGGAGAGAGAGTGCATTTCAGTCTCCACTTTGGGGTTTATCAAAGTGCACTTGACCATTTGAAGACCAGAGATGAAGTTTGACTGAGGGATAGATACTTATATAAAGAAATAAATGTACTGTGTACCATGTTATTGTACTATTTGATAGACATGGCGGAGGAGCTGGCTGACTATAACGGGGATGATGAGAATGAAGGAGAGTTCGAAGCAGACAAACAAGCTGAACTTGCTCAAAACTAAGGTATACACTGAAACACACACCGATATCTTCCTCTCTGACATTTACTTGCTTTTTTGTTCTTTGGGTTTTTATGGTATGATGACATTGACGCAGCATGTCATCCTATCCTATTCTATCAGTCATTTCTGAGTATCTTTGCTGTGTTTTTAAACAAGTTCTACAAGGTTTAAAACCCAACTGTGCACTAAGAGCAATGGGATTTTTCTGTCAAACAAGCATAGGGTCATCTAGCTGCAGCTAAACTGGCTGTGCAGTATGAAGAAGGTCTGCCCCATTCATGGGAACACTACATAATAATGCCGTTCATTGTTTTTATTTTCCTAGGAAAATGGCAGTAAAGGAAATTATCAGTGGTTCCAGATTTCTGATGTTCCAGTTCAGCTGACTATATCACAAATTGCTAAGAAAATACTACTGGACCTAGAATGTATTTTCATAATTCATTGTGTATTAACATTTTTATTATCCCAGATGTTATTTTTTTGTAAGTTGTAGTTTTTTTTTTAATATGCTTCCATGAAGAAACAATTGAAAAAGCATTTTCGAATGAACATCCTTATGTCTGCTACAGCTTTTACTGTTGGACAATCATAATGTTTTGTCTTATTCACACAATTTATTTTTCTTGCAGGGATGAAGTTGGAGAAGAATCCTGGACAGGACATCAGGAAGCAAAACCTGTTTTAAACCTAAGCACAGCAGCACAGTACAGGTTAATGCAGCCCTTCAAACACAGGTCTACACAAAACAAATCCAGAAGGAAATTACAATATGAAAGACTTGACATTTTCATGAGGATTTATTTCCTGGTCTTTTTATGTGTCATTTTAATTACATTTTGTACATTTGATTATATTACTTTTTGTCAGATATTTCCTCATTTGGGATCATCAAGTTTTCTCTTATTGTAGTAAGAATATTTGCAACTACATATCCAATTCACAACTGAGTGCAATATGCAAATGATAGCCAAGCATACACATGTTTTCCATTCACATGCATTTCACTGTATATATAAAACCCTTAATATGTTGGTGACTGTGCTCACATTCTTTGCAGTAAGTTTAGATGATATGAAAGTACTTACTACTAAGCTTTTTTATATCACATGCTATGTAGTACTCATGGAATGGCGAACACAGCTTAAGACATCTCAAGATTTGACACCATTTGGCTTGAAAAATTTAACATGCCTGGAAAATCAGTAGATTTTTATAATGGGATTAGATTTTCTTTTTATGTCTGCTGTTTAGTGACTGTAACTGGATGATAATGTGCAGACCCTTGCAGGGTTAAGAGGTGTCGAATACTGTAGTAAATGTAAATAATCTGAGTGATCCCAGTGACAGAACGCCTTCATCAGAGGGCTATATAGGGCAGGCCTCTTTACTCTGAGGCTCAACAGCATCTTAATGCCTTAAGATACTTTTGCACAACGTCCAATAGAGAGGATGCTGACTTAAGAACACTACATGCTACAAAATGTCCATAAAAGCAGCAAATGAAGGAAACGGGGTGATATTCTTGTTAGACTGTTGTTATTTTGATATTAAACCCAGTCAAATGGAAAGACAAAAACAGCAGCTTTTTTTGATTCTCATATAGCCAAAGGCACTGTAGGCTGGCATGCCACATAACAAATGGGCAAATTCACCTCATGGATTACATGCTGCTGTAACTTTGTAAAGCGTTAAACATACTATATTATGATCGCTGTAAATGGACATTTTTGATCACTCTTCTCTAAACCGTCACTTTGTTGATTTGCTTGGGCGTTTTTATTAGCAGCAAGGCTTCTATTCTCAGTCCTATTTCAGATCAAATGTCATAAGGTTAAATGTGTGCTGTTTTCCACATGTAAAATAGGTAAGACAGGACAACAGGATTATTTTACAGTGAAAGGAATAGTCTGGAACATCTGGATATTTGTAGATTAACAATCTTACTTTATTGTGATGCATGCCTTATTAATTCTGTGTGTACCAGTTTTCCTTTAAGGTCAGGTGCTTCTGACTGTGGACCTGCTCATATGTTTGTGATTTTTTCTTTGTGAATATTGTCTCTGGTCTGCTGAATTGGATGGACTGTATACTTTGAGAATGTGGAGAGATTTCTGAGAATTGCTGTAATTTCATGAAGGACATTTCCTTGAAGTAGGACCATTGTGTTGTCCTTTAAGGTTCCTGCAATCCAGTAGATGTGAACTATTCAGTAGCTCTACTAAAATGTATTTGTCTACTCAACTTAAAACTGTACTAGACTGGAAATTGTGTGAGTGAACACAAACATGGGCTAATTTTAGGCATCAGAAATAACAAAGAGTTAGTTAAATTTGTGGCGGGATATTTTGTTGCCTTGTGTTTTATACAGGTCAGATGATTTCTTTTTATTTTCAGGTATTCTGCTTCATGTAGGAACGTGACTACAGACCTACTCACCACACTGGCTGTAATTTCAATAAACTTCCATAAAGCACTGACTTATCAGCAGATAACGTACAGGTGCAGGTATTTGCCTATCTGAAATCTTTGTGGGTTTAAACACAGATGTTTTTTTTGAAATGCAATGGGCGTGTTAAACTGTATATACAGTTCAGCTATTGTGCACGAGAAGTGTGCAGGAGAACTAAAATTTAATCACTGAAAACTGCCCTATCCATTTCATTTCCGAAGTTTCAAGCTAAGGAAGCTCAAGCAAACCTGCTTTCATGTCTGTCATTACATTTGGCTTGTGGTTCAGTCCCACAGAAACTACAAGTCAAGATTCTGAGGTTTTTCCCAACATAATTTTGTTAACTTATTTTTTAATTTATGTTATTATCGTTATTATTTTTGAAATCTGGGCCTGCTCATCATGTCTCAAAGGAACCAGGGAACATACAAATAACGAATAGGAGTGCTGATGACAGATTAATGGTCTAGTCACAAAAGCAACAAAGTTTGATGACAACTAAATGACAGTTACAGAACAGGGAAGCCCTTAGTATATTGGCAAGATTAACTTTCAATGCAACATCGAGCCAGACAGCTAGAAGGTGTTCAAACCTATTCACCTTCAGCACGCGTGTTTAAAGTGAAGAACATGAACCCTTTTGTCTCCCTTTTAGTTGATGTTGCAGGAGAGGTTCCTGAGATATTTTTTATTATGTCGTGTCGTTTCCAGAGTTGCTGTTCTTCATTGTCTGATGCTGCAAAGCTTGGAAAGCCATTGCTTTGTTTCGTCAGAAAGCTTTGTCTGCCGAAATGTGTAAAAACTAGGAATTTCTGAACTAGAAGTCTGTTTACCTGGAGAGAAAATGTTGTATGATTTTTATAAATTTGATTAACGTTTTTGGTTAATTTGTTGGAATTATTTTTTATTTTATTCTGTACTGCTGAACAAATTTATCAAAGATCTAAATAATCATAGGATTTATTGATGATAGAGAATAAAAAATGTTTTTATTATCACTATCAAGATTTGTTTCATTTATTGTTTGGTGTGACCATTAACTAATATATAAATAGAATATTTTCAGAAAATATTTTCATCTCGTCAGGAGGAATCTTATTTCAAAATTCATGCCATCAAATCTTATGTAACACATTAAGACAACACATTAACATGCTACTGTAAGTTTTAATGGAGAAAAAAACATTACATAACCTAAGATATAAATCACAATTTACATGAACATGAATGAACATGAACTGTATTTGTCAATGTCCTACTACTGACATGACATGGTTCTGAGACTTCAGCTGTGCTGTAAATGAGTCAAACAAAGTGAAGAGCTTGAAGAGGTGAGGTGAGATATGTAGTAAATACAGAGCTTTAAAGGGCTGTTCTTGAGTGTGAAAATATAATACAAATATTCAGAAAAATCATTTTAAATGATTCATCTGCATATCCCCAAAAAACTTGTTTCAACAGAACGCGACAGGTGTACTCACCTGGCTCTTCCTGTTCAAAGGATCATATGTTGTGTTGGTGGCAAAATGCTGCTGAGGGTTTTTTTTTTTTATTTATTTATTTTTTTTTACTACACTCCTTTCCGCTGTAGCAGTCTTCTCTTCGTCCCACCCTAACTGTTCATTCCATTGCCATAATAGGTATATGAAATGAAATGATGACAGCTGGGGGGAGTGTACCGATGGCCACCTAACAGCTTTCTGACATGTTAATGTTGCCAACAGGTAGCCAATAAAAAAAAAAAAATTAATCTGATAATCACTATATAAACATAGAAGCACCAGCCAGAGAGCCACCTGAAGGGATCCACATCCAAAGGGACCATGATGAAGCTTGCCTTTGTCCTTGTTTTGCTTCTTGCTGGTGAGTTTTTTTTTCTCTCCTTGAATTACAATACATTGAAATTTTTAGGTGGAGTATATTATTTTCTCCTGCATGTACAATACTTAACAAGCAAAAGTTGGATTAGGGGAATGAAAAAATAAAAGCTACAGAGGATCTTAATGTAAACTAGAGTGACTTTTTCACATTTTGAACCCATTCAGGCTTAAGTGATTTCTAAGCCTGAACCTGACTGGTGTGCTTTCTTTTCACATGTTATCTGCTCCGCTTCCATACATCAGGTGCTGCTGCATCAGAGGCCATTGAAAAGAGGATTATTGGGAGTCAAGACTGTAAAACGGACAGACAGTACCATGTCCAGGTAGAGTCGCTCCAGGGGGGGAAGTCCTGTGGAGGCTCTCTGCTCAACACCCGCTGGGTCATCACTGCTTCTCACTGTGCAGAACAGTAAGAAACAATCCATCTTCTCATGTGGCGCAGTTTTCATGTGTTGTCTGCGTGATGGGAAATTAGACTCAAACTTTCTAAACTGCTGCCAAAATGTAGTTAAAGAGAAAAGTTAGATTTAGGCAATAAACTACAAGTAAAGTGACCATTAAAAGGAAAATGATAAAGATTGAAAAGATAGACTGCATTTTTAAATGATTTGGATTATTTTTTGACTTGCATCAATCTCCTCAAAGTTTTCCTCTTCTTTTTTTTTTTTTGCAGGGAGGTGAAACTGAAGCTTGGCTTAAACCAGGAGCTTTCATTTTTTAAAAAACTAAAGTCAAAAGCAAAGGCTTTATTTAATGGACCATCCAAAAAATACGAACAAATAATTAAGACTGGGCAACAGTTCACCTACAAAGACGAGGAGGGGCGTGCCCATGACATCATGCTCATAAGACTGAATGAGGATATGTCTGCTAGCGTTCCCTACATCACTCTTCCCCCTGTTGAGTGTTCCCAACCAGAGCCAGGACAGCAGGTTGAAGTTGGAGGGTGGGGAGCCAAGAAGACTAACTTGAAAAGTGAGCAACACCAGGATACTTAATTCAGTTTTTTGATATAAAAGTCACTTTTCTGATGCTTTGTTTTAAATTCTCAGAGGCGAAGAATTTGAGGTGTGCCACCACAGACATCAAGGCATGTGGTGAGAATGATAAACCCGATGATAAATACTTCAGTGACGAATCTACCACCATGTGTGCCTTCAAACCTGGTGTGGAGGCCTGCTATGTAAGGAAACAGTTTTATTCGATACATTTCTTTAATTTTCAAACTACTTTTCCATGTAATGACATATGATCTCTCTCTCCCAGGGTGATGGAGGTTCAGCTGTGGAGTATAACAATGTCTTACATGGGATTATTGTAAGCGACCCTGTTGATAAGTGTGCAAACACCATTGTAATGCTCAACATCTGTCACTACAGAAAGTGGATTGATGAAACCATGGAGAGCAATTAGAGTAAAACTTACAGTTTAATACAGAGAGAATTGCAAGTATACTTAAAATATCTCATATATTTTCATTTACAATCATAATCACCTGCCAAATTAGCTACATTTTATGTTAGTGGATAAAACTGGAAAGATCAGGAGTCAGTATGGTTTGACTGTACACAGTTTGCTATGTTACCTTGTGTTTAATTTTTTAACAGAGGCAAACACATTAATTTAAGGTGCATTAAAACCACCAGAGCTCTCCTTATAAAATTATGACTGTAGGCTTCATTTAAATTCATGTTTTCTTTCTGAGTTCCTTCTGTAAAACCACATGTTTTCCACGAATTAAAAAATGTGATCTCTCAGAGTCCGTGTGTTGTCTGTTATGTCTTTTAAGTATACTTGAATGTCATGTGCCTTGTTTGCACAAGGGTTCAGCCACATTCAAATTCTGGTCACACTTTAACTTTATGAAGCACATGGTATCATGCTGACCTACTGTATGTCACGTCACTGAGGAACAACGCTATAGTTATAAGCATTATTTATTACAGGTTAACCTTTGTTTAACCAGGTGTGTCCACTGAGATCTCTTTCTCGAAGGAGCCCTGGCCAAGACAGTGGCAATACGGTGTTCCACACAACATACAGCAACTATACCAAATAACATACAATGACAAGCCTAATAAAAACAGACAGTGGAAGATATATCTGTCCTTCACCATATCTTTAAAAGCCTTGATCGGGATCAGCTCATCTAGCTGTAGATCAGCCTGCAAAAGGTTCCAGGCTGCAGAGAACATAAAAGCCTTTTTGCAAAGTTCAGTGTGAACCTAAGGGACTAAGTTAGTGAAAGAGTGTCATTAGAGTGCTAACTTTTTTTTTTTTTTTTACTGGTTTTGAGTGAGATATACCCAGAAGGGGAGCAAATCAAGCATGGGTTTATAAATAAATATGTATCAATGAGTGAGTCTGTGCAGGGTCAGAGAAGGCCACTGAACTCTGACATATAGGGCGCAATGGTGAGTGAGAGCTTTACAGCCTGTGAGGAACAGCACTGTGGTACACAGTGGACATATTACAGGAGATTAACAATACAAGAAAGACAGATCTCTGTTTTGTAACACTATAGGGCGACTCATTGGTAGAATGTATCATGCTGACAAAGTCAGGAAACACAATACAGCTTTCAGAGCAGAGAGGCACAGAGGACCAAGCAACTCTACAGAATTGAAAGAGTTCATGTGAAAAAGTCTCAGCCATGCAAAGTGCTTACGTGCTCCTGACACTAGACGGGCAGACGAGGGTGCTCCTCAAATGGCCGGTTAATCCACAGCTCCCAGATCTGAAGCGCAATAAACAACTCAAACGGGGATTTCATTGACAGTAATGCAATTCAGTTTATGAGGCAGAAATAGTGTGTGAGGTGTTTCAGTAAATGTAACTCAATTTGTGAAATAGTTCAGTTTATGGAGAAGTCCAGCTTGTAAATGTGCCTGAGTGTGCATGTGTAAGCAGAGGAGGGAGGTGGAAAGGTGACTGAGCCTCATGGACAGAATACAGCAGATCACTTTCTTCATGTATGGTGATCTATCACTGCTACTGACAGCTCAAGACCTCCACTCACAAGGTCACTCAGTTTCCTATTTGTCAAAATACAATAAGAGGACAGGGCTTCAGACATCAAGTCTGATTACATGTACTTTTATGAGCATTTTGGGAAACTAACTAAATTGCAAATGGAATTTTTTCATCATCTGTCTACCTGTTTATACTTACTTACAAATCTAGAGATATAAAGATTTTCAACTTTTTGATTTAGGATGTTTTAAATGGATTTTATCGTTTAAACAAACCAATGAAAACATGTAAAATTCTTTTCCACTAAGGAATTAAAGGATAGATTAATACCACAGTAAACGTGTGATTTATTATGTTCTTGAGTTGTGTGAGGGCTGTAGATTATCAGTCCTGTGGGGTCAGTGTTAGTTTGAAGAGGCCTGGAAAGTATCTCTTCTACTGCTGTTAGTAGTGAAATACGGATTTCTGAAATCTCCCAATTTTGGAAAATCAAATTGCCCTTTTCATAGGCCACAGGTGCTTGCAACTTCACTTTACACTTACAAGATCATGAACATCATCAATAATCCTTTTCTACAAATTGTCCTGTCTATATTTCACAATGCAGACTGATGCCATCAGGTACTAATGTGAGACTGGTGATGTACACGGTGCAGCAAGGTAATATACCTTTTTTTTCAGCCTCAACATTTTCATATGAATTCAGATAAGCATATGAATACAAAGAAAGGTTTCATATGGTTTAATGATATGCACACACTTTCATTACAGCAATCTTTTCAAGCCTTAACAAGACTGTTCTGGAGGCAGCTTACAAAAATTTTTATTGGCCAGTTTTTTGCGCAAAAGCACCTCGACTTGTGTCTGACTTGCGCACACACACACACACACAAACACAAGACTTTCACAGATGCAGATGTGGATATTGTCACTCATTTAGGTCCAGTTGTGACTTCTCTCATTCAGGTGAAAAAATGGGGTGAATCAAACACTCCTTTATACAGCTTTACAGTTAGGTGTGTAACACACACACACACACACGCACACACGCACACACGCACACACACTGTTCTGACATGGACTGGATCAGGGCCATTGCACACTTGTTCAGGTACGGCTGATGCACAGAGACTGTCATCCTGTGAAGCAGAGTCAGATGATCTTGACCACGGGGAAGTATTTGTGAGCGGAGAAGTCAAACTCTGGGAGCACCTAGGGATGCAGACATTTTTTTTTTTTTTTTTTTTTAACTGAAACAATGTCTTCACAGTACACAACAGCTGTTACAAAACACACTAAATTAAGGTAAGCCCATCACAATGCCTGGTGATTAAACACCACCGTATAAACATCTCAATTCTTTTAAAAAGATAGATTTCACAGTTGTAATCTCTCTTTTTTCCCTTTGTGTGGCAGCGAAATGCAACTAATTTGTATCATTCGAGAATGTGTGTATTTTGTTACCTTGGTCTCCTTTTTGTGCCCTCCAGCCAGCAGCTTCATAACGACAATGTTGGGTTTGGCCACCTTCAGTATACGGTTCACCTGTTATCAATTTTTAATAGCTGGTTACTGACAATGGAAAAGGTAAGAACTAACATGCAAACAAACCATTTGTCTAGGTTGGTGCAATAAAACAGAAAAATATTGTGTCCCCATAAACCTGGAGTCCCTGACCTAATACTTAGTTCATGTGCAATATTGTTATTCCAACTAATTTATGTCTCAGGGAGAAAATCTTTTCAGGAATAGATTTTGACGACAACTAAATTTGTCCTGAAGTTTGAATTTGGGGACTCAGTTTCTTAGCAAATAAAAATCAGACATAATAAAACACCAAACCGTTAGCTGTAAGAGCATGCATTTATTTTACAATAATTTTATTTCCTGACCTCGGGATCTGGGCTGGGCACATTTTCTAGGATGAGCTTGGCCTGCTGAAAGTGTTTGCTGGCTGCCATGTAGAGGTCAGCAGAGCCAGGCGGAGGATTGTACTTCTTCAGATCAGACATCTCCTGCAGTGGGCAAGAGCAGGAGCAAAGTCAGGAAGAGCAAAGAAAAACAGACTGTGGAGGAGAGAGCACAAACAAGAACGATGGGATAAAAATAAGGGGTAGGGAAAAGATGAATTACACACACACAGACAAACAGTACCTTAAACTGGATGTAGTGCACAGGTGGGGGGGTGACCACACTGTTGAAGGGGGCAAAGCGATGCTCATAGCGAACCTGCTCGCTGTCCAGCTCAAACTGAGGCTTACGCACCTTTCCGTCCATATCCAAAGCTACCATTGTCTGAAGAGAGAGACAGAGGCAGAGAAAGGACGGGTTATACCTGATGCCAAAAAAAGGGGTGAAGAGATGTTATGAATTTATGCCTTACCTTGTACATGCCAGCACACATGTTCTGGTATGCTTGACTCATGGTAATCTCCTTGCTGAGGGGGCGAACTGCAAAGTAATCCCAAACATAACATCAGTATCCTCTCTCACACCTACAGGAAGACATCACTTTGACAAAAAATGGGAGTATTTCTTAGCACATTTGGGTTATTGTCATACACAGAGAATCCACTGCTGATTAATGCTGATGGAACCAAATGTACCTTTCTTTTTCTTCTTGGTCTTTTTGCTGCTGCGTCCTTTCAGTTGCTCCTCCAGAATCCGCTCCTCTGCCATCTGAGAGGAGTCGGCTCTGCTCAGAGTGGACATCAGCCATGCGTAAAGGAACTCTGACAGGTACCTGCAGTCAGAAACAAGCACATATTCATTCACAGATGAACTAAAGTGCACCTGAGATCTGATATTGTGTGCCTCAACTGCAGCAACAGTTACCAGCAACAAACAAATATGATCCCTTACCAGTAGATGTAGTAGTACTCATGCATGCTGTAAAGTTCCAGTTCAAAGCCACTCAGCAGGTACTGGATCATGATCCTCAGGTTATGGTAGAGGATCCAGGTACCAAGACAGGCTAGATGCTGTCGCTGAGGCTCAAGTTTCATCAGCAGGCTATGCAGCGCTGCATCTACTTTCTCTGCCTGCAGAGCATAAAAGAAGATTTTAGTATTTGCTTTTTAAGATATAAAGTCACAACTGTCATCAGGATGGATGCAATGGGTTCATTAATAAGTAAAACTTTTCTATCCAAATAGATGCTGAGCTTGTATGGCACACAATGCAAAAACAACAGCTGCAGTTCACCTCATCCTGCAGTGTAGCAAACTCTTCAAGAATGTGACCCAGCTTGTCTCTCTGCCGAGCTCGGTTGTGCCCGTGGATCTGGATCAGACTGCAGAACGGCTACAGGGACACGCACATACACACACACAGTTACAGAGTTACACCCAACATCCAAAGTATCAAAAACTCCGATTAAAGTAAGACTGAAAATTTCCTGCTGTCCTTTCATTTCAGTCAATATCATGGCAATCATCAAGCTCTATTATTAAAGCAATTTTAGACCTCTCCTCCAAACTATCTGTTTTTATTAAACTATTGAAAAAACAGCCCATAAAGCGCACTGAGTAACTGAGGTATTAAAATGTAGCAAACTGCAGCAGATGCACAGACTAACTTTTAACAGTAAAGGTGACGTACCCTGGAGCAATGCGTAACAAATGAGTCAATGTAGTCCTTGGCCTGGTGGTTATTAAACAGACAACACCTGGAGAGAGACAGGTGCAAACACACACAATAAGCTCAAGACGCAATCATCTCACTCAAGATAAAAAACTAAAACAATGACCAAAATCAACCACTGACTTTAACAACCTTAA